CGGCGGCACCCGGAGCGGCGCCGGTGGCCGAGGGCCGCCCCGGGGAGGTTCAGCGTTCGGGGGGGGCCGCCGGTTTGCAAGGAACCTCGGCGGCTCGCTGTGGCACCCCAAGCTACCAAAACATGGGAGCCACGAGTCCGAGTGATAAGGAAATGACCTGTACTGATGACTCTGACAACGGCTGTCTTTCTCGGTTGGCTTAAGGCGATCTTCTGAGTCACCAGAAATGCAAACCCTCTTCAGTCTTAATGTTGACTTTTTGAGACGTTCCTTTTGTACTCTGGAAGCTACCGGTTACCTTGAGTTCTGTTTGCTTTCAGCATCTGCCAAGGTGTTTAAGTGGTGTGTGCGCTCACAAACAAAAGGGAAAATCTATGGTTTCCTTGGTCTAAAAAACAAGTCAGGTGTGAGGAAATGGGAAGACTAATACAAAGGAAGTGGTCAGATGACACTCATGAAACTTTTTGTATTTAAGTACGTAGGTATCGATGTCTATGAGCAATATCTTGACTGTCTGCAGTCAAGGTGGTAGAAGTAAGTTTTTAGAAAGGCGTCTTCGGAAGAACATACTGGGGAAACAGTTCACGAGTAGATGACGCTCATGAAACTTTTCGTATTTGAGTACATAGGTATCGATGTCTATGAGCAATATTTTGACTGTCTGCAGTCAAGGTGGTAGAAGTAAGTTTTTAGAAAGGTGTCTTCAGAAGAACATACTGGTGACACAGTTCACGAGTAGTACACCATTAGAAGTTGTATGAGTGTGTAGCTTGGCAGGGGAGGAAGGGGAACAATACCCGGGTGCTTTGAGGTGGATCACAAAGTCGTGAATTTGGATGCATGAGAGCAAATGAGTTAAGCAGTTGAAAGAATCAGGGTCCTAGAATTAGCTTTCTAAACTTAGATTTAAATCCCTAAGGTATGCTCTATGCAGAGAAGCTGTAGTTTACAGTTTGGTTAAATTTGCTTGTAAGGGGCGAGTAACACTTGCAGATGCCCTTTGCTACAGCGGGAGTTTGGGATAATCCAGAAGTTAGACCTTTTAGGTACAAGTGAATTTACAGCTACTCTGAGTTAATTTTTTAAATTTTTTTTTTTAGCTCTGTATGGTGTCTCTTTTGTTTTGTTTTGGGGTTTTCATTATTATTTTTGGAGCTCCTCTTTGGAGGATGGAGCTGTCCCCAGAATAATTTAGACCTGTCCAAGTTGCAACAGTGTTCCCTAGTTGCTTTATGCAATAGGTGTTACTTGGATGCTGTAACTGGCTTTACAGCATCATATGCTGTGTGAGGTGTGTTTGAGCTTGCATTAAGGTTCCCTGGTTATGGTTCTTCCCACAGGAGTAATGCTTGTTAGGGAGGAACCCTTCAATAGGATTTTAGGAACCTTCAATGCTGTGTAAAAGAAAAGGTGAAGCAGACTTAAGAGCCTTCTGCGACTTTTATGCAGAAATAGAATAGCAAATAAAAAAAAATTTAATGGATTTTATGACAAATTTTTGCTTGGGTTTTTTTTTTAATATGCATTATGATTATCCCAAATTTTGTCTGTTCTTTATGTGATTAGACTCTCTAAAAGCTACTGTCCTGGTTCTTCTAATCAGAATGGTTCATTTAAAAAAGTTAACACTGAAAATGACGAGAATATTCTTGTCGGAGAAACCTCCCTGTAACCACTGACGCTAGTTATATGAGCAGTTTAAGCTCAATTTAAAACAAGTGGAAGTCTCAAAAACAGTGTTCCTGAAAGTAGTATAAAATTAGGAGTTCAGCTAGAGAAGTAACTATATTAATATATTGATTGAGGAAAAGGCTGTAGATACATTTAACTTGATGATACAAATCAAAATCTGCAGGTAAACAGTTTTCTTGGTGTCACCAGTGGCAGAGCTACATGTTTTATTTTGACTTGAGTTAGGCTTTTAAAGTATTCATGCAAACTAATGACATGTGGAGCAATTGTTTCAGAGTTCACTAATTCTTAGATTTGTAGATGCTGTTAATGCTGGATGCTTGTACATTTGGATTTCAAATTTTCTAGTGTAATGCATAGGGAAAAATATTGGATGATGGTACTGTAAATCAGGAATTTTGTTCAGGGAGGCTTTCCATGTTGTGTATGTAAAGTGAATTCTTAAATTGTATACTGGGAGTAAGTGTTCTCTGCTACTGAAATGACTGAGAGACTTCATGAAAATATTTAAGGACCATAACATTCTCTAAGGGCTTCTCTGAAGTCTTCTCACAGAAAAACATCAAAATCTGTTTAAGTAATCTGCATATGTAAATTCTTTTTAGTTTATGACTCGATTCAGATAAGACTGTAGATTGATATTTGGTAATCTTTGTCAGGTGTTAGTTAAACCCAGTCTGGAAAGAATAAAGGAATGAAGACCTGCAAATTACGTATTTAGCTGGTTAAGCCCTCTAAAGAGGGCAAGTGATTACCATTATACAGTAAATATGATTTTTCAAGGTGTACTTGAATAAATTGTTTTTCTGAAACAGAAAAAGTCAGTCTTACCTAGAAACTCTTGTTCCTGGGGGCCTCTTGAAAGTATGGTGAAAATGTATCCGTTACATTTCTGAAGGAAGGTCATTGGGCAACTGCAGAGGCTCTTACATACCAGTTAATGAATTTTCAACTTAAGTCAGCATTCTTTTCACTCTTAATCCTTCATAAAAAGTACTTCACTCCTAGCAGTTGTGGTTAATAGATGTTTGGGTTATGGCTAAGTAACTGGCTTTGGCTGCCTTTTGGGATAGAAATTTGAAGCAGAAAACTTGTGAGTTTTTTCTCTCTGTCCTCTCCCAGAGTCATTGGCATGATGGAAGTGTTTGCTGTGTTAGGCGAGGCATGCTTTCTGGAGGAATCATGATCATAGGAGTCTCTTTTTCCTTTGAAAAGAATAGGACTGTTACTCAGAGTGAGAGTCTACAGAACTCCAAAATTACTAATGGTCTAATCTTGTGGGTTGCCCCCCTCCCCCTTTAACTGCTATGTATTTTGGTGACCCCAGTGAGCACCATTAAATAAAAAGGACTTCTCTGCTATCAAATTGGCTCAAGCATGAAGTTTAGCTTATTTAAAACAAAATGCTTTTTAGATGTTTAATGCTACTTGCTTTGTTTCTAGCACAGGTAGGAAAGTGTTCTTAAATAAAGGGTATAAAAGTTATTTTTGTGCTGTAGAGCTGCTGCTTCTTGCGCTGAACTTCTCCATGCTTCAAAATCCGGAAAACTTATTTTATACATCTTTTATTTTGCCATGGGCTTTAACTTTCTCCTTGGCTCTTAGGCTACATACTAGCACACATCACCTATTCTGTAACAATAAGCTATTATTTTGGTAGCTGGTTCTCACAGTAGACAGGAAAATAAAAACAGCATAAGGCAGTAGTCATCGCTGCTTCATATGTATTGTGCTCACTTGCATCACATTTAACTTTGTCCTTTGTCAGGGATGTTACACCTGGCCTACACATGTTCTCTCTGATCTTTCCTTCCTTTTCTCTACAAAGCTACTTTGCTTGATGGAGCAGAATGCAACAAAAACTTAAATTGTTAGGGCAAAAGCAGCCTTCTGTAAATTTCACGAGTGATGTTCAGAATCTGTGTTTGCTGAAATACCAAGGCTAAGCTTCCCCTGCCTTGTTTCAGCCTTAATCTTTCTAAAACAAAGTTGAAATTTCTGCAAAAAAACCCCTGAGATCTTAGTGATATGAATGCAGTTTATCAAAGTTTGTGGACTAACAATGGCAGGAAATGTAAAGATGTTCTCTGCTTGGGACTATCTCCCATTCAGATTGAAAAGGGCTTTTTGCTTGGACGTTGTTCAGGATGATCATGCCAAATCCACATGCATAAGGGTTATCTCTAGTCTAGAAGTAGTTTCACCACTTCTGTGCAGAGCCCAACTTGATAACTGCAGTCAACTTTAAGGATGGCCAATCTTGGTGTCTCAGCATTGTAGCTCTTGTGTTGGGAGTGATATGATCTGTGGTTTGGATGCATCCGAGTGGTTCAACAAGAGGTCATTTTGACTCGAGTCAGGCATGCTAACCGCTTAGAGCAGATTATAGGGATGTTCTGTTTCAGTGGAACTAAATACCTTCTGTCAGAGCAGTCTAAAAGCATGAAGGCAGCTTGGATCCAGTGCCAAGTGAAAGTTAATAAGCTCTGTTGGAGATACCATATCAATCAAGTCTTGATTTTGATCATTCCTGATGATAGTTCTGTTAATTTGGAGTTGCACTGTCTCATCAATTGAAACGAATTTCCAGTATCTCAAATCTGAAAGTCAAAACCAGCAATTCTCTGTACCCTCACCCCAACAATTCCATTTATCAAGGGGGAAATAAACCCTATGATCCTTAGAAGCTGAACTCTGTTATTGTGACGGTCTGATAAATTAGTCAATGTCTCAAACATTTGTTAAAGAACTTTGCTGGAGATGATGGCCTCTGTAAAAACGCTGCAGTTGTGTGAACAGGACAATGTGGCCGGAGGACAGGGCCCCACAGAGGGTGGGACTATGCTTCTCCAAAGCCGCAATTCCTTATCTTAAGTGACCATGAGAAGGAGCACAGCGTATGCACCTGGAGGAGGTGGCCTCATGGAGGATGGGACTGTGCTTCTATCTTAAGTGGTCATGCCAGCAGGGAAAGAGAGGTAACTCCCCAATGAACCCCCAAGCTCACCAACCAATTCCAGAGAACCCCAGGAATGTGAACTGCGCATCTGGAGACCACTAACTAATATGCTATAAAAGAAGGGAGAACGAGTTCTCGGTGCGCTCCCTCTGGAACTGGGTCTCTCTGCTGGCTGGACCAATGCTGGACCCAGGACTGGTGAAACCCTTTTCTTCTCCCTTTCTTTTTCTTTCTTTCTCTCTCTCTTTTTCTCCTCTCTTTTCCACAGTCCTTACGCCTCATCCTTTTAAACATAAACTGTTGACCAAGTCTGAGACTAGGAGTGGATCCAGCCACCCCTGAGCTCTTTTTTGAGAAGGAGTCCAGAAAGCAAGGGGGTCTGCTCTGAACCTTGTGACTCAACGGGAGGGTTCTCCTTCTGACACAGTTTCATGTTCTTTTTTCTGCTTCTTTTTACACCTCCCTTTTCTTTTCAAAAAGCAGCTTAATGACATGAGGCAAGGTCCATATTGATAAGTGCACTTGTACTTGAGCAAGGTTAGCTAGGTTGAATAAATGTTGATTGTTGTTTGAACTCCCCTGGTATTGTTTCATCTTAATTCTGACAAAGGAAATCCACAAACCTGAGTCACTCCAACTTTGGGATGTGACAGTTATCAAGGATCATAGCTCCAGAAGTTGGAGCCAGACTCTTTTTGGAATAGCTAATTTGGTACCTGTTATTCTCAAACACAGAAACAGCTCAACAACACTGCTCAAGGCCTGGTAGTACTGCATCCTGAACATCTGAATTAATACTAGGATTTAATTGTCCCTCCCTGTCAAGAATTTAGTCTGTGTTTTGAGTTGCTGTGACCAGATTTTTATTTTTGCTAACTCCTCTAAGGCTGGGTTACAGTGAAATTTAAAAATGGGATCAGTGGCAATTCAAATGTCTGGAACTAATGAAAGGCAGTAGCACTGTAGAACTATTGGCCACAAAGGTAAGTAACTGTAATAATGTCTTGTTTAATGGAGTAGATATGTGCTCTTCCTTTAATTCTGAGCATCTATGTTAGTAACTTACCTACCTAACAGACTTCATAGATTTGCTTAGGCTAACTTCATTGTAGCACAAAGCAAAGTTTTCACTGGCGTTAGCGTGGGGGTTTGGGTTTTTTTTTTTCTGTTACATTGGCATTCATGGTGAATGTTCCTGAAAGATGTGAATACTAGTAACAACCTCCCACATACCGGTAACAGCCTCCCACCTGAATGATAAAGTCCCCAGCTAATGGATATTGCCTTTTGTCATTGACCTGTCTGACATGAGCCCTATCCAGTGTTCTTGGGTGTGACTGTGAATAAAAACTTCCTTTTTCTGTTTCTTGCATGACTTAGACCTTATCTTTCTGAAATGAACATTAGTGTTGCCTGACAAGCCAGGGGCTTGGTGCCTGTACCATCACCTTCAAAGAATTTCTCAAACACTGGTGTAGTTGACCTGTTAATGATACTCAGCAGTTCGTGCAGGTAGTAATTGGCTGTCTCTTGGTGCTATGCCAAAAATTGGAATTGGAGTAGTCTTCCATGCACATTGATTAGTTCACGTGCTGGTGTACCTGCTGCCATTGAAAATCTGTAGAAGCAGCTCACAAGTGCTGTGGAACTGAGGTCTGCCTTAATGTATCAAACTGAGCCTTTTAATCTTTTCAGAGATGTATTGAAATCTTGCAAGCTATTCTGCGAATACACTAACATTCTTAACTTCGTTCCATTGTGAAGCATTAAATTAATTCTGGGCTTCTGCTGAAGTCCCGAATCGTTAACTAACACTCGCACTCTTACGAACTTCATTTACTTTGAAAGCAGTCATCCTTGCTTCAAAATGTTACAGACCAGGTTTCACATTTCTGGAACAGGACATGCGTCTTGGAGTCGTCCTCAAAGATCAGCGTACTGTGAAGCTAATCTTAGAGAGAGAGAGTTAGAAGCTAGTTTGAAGCACCTATCTCTAATAATAGAGGAAGCCTAAAGAGCTGAAATCAGTCTTTGTGAATATCACACCCATTCTTGGCACATTTGCACACAAACCAGTCAGAAAACGTGGGCTATGTTGTAAATCTTTGTTTGCTGGGATTATTTGACTTACGCTAAGCTATTTTTGAAGGTTAGTGGTAAAATACTCATATGAAAGAAGAATTTAGTGACTCATGGGAATGTACTTCTGACTCTTCTGACTTTACTGCCTCCAAAACAATTTTAAGGATAATGCATCTCTAAAAACAAAACTGAGTTACTGGCAGATGAGGAGACAACACAAGGTTTTTGATAGGATATGTAGTTAGAGATTGGGGATCTTTGCTCTTCCACTAATTAGCTCAATGCCTCCATATTCTCACACTTAAGATGGAGGTGATACCTTACTTTCTCTGATGCCTTTTGAAAGGTTTTGATAAAGAACAAAAAATTACAATTTCTAGAGCAATCCGAGTCACTTCTTTTTCCAAGTACTAGGAAATCTGTATTTCAGAACTCATTTCCTCAACAGAATTTTTTTACAATAACTGCTTCTAGGCATTTTGTTCCAATATTTGCTCAAGTATAGCCTCTTAATATGCTGTTAAAAGAAAATTCAAATAATTTGAGTATATAAAGAAGATACCAGTGTTTGTTTAAGGACCAAAGTCAAATGCAGACTGAGACTGGGCTTAAATGAACAAGTCATCTAAAGGCAGTGTCAGACAGGCAGACATTTTTATTTTAGTCAAAAAGAGAGGTCAGGATTGTTGTCTGCATCTTGTTCCACATGGAGTTCATAAGTAGGTTTATTGAGGGTAGTGAGAGAGGTGTTAAGGTGACTTTAACCTGTATATTGGTATCATTTGGCAGTGTATCCTCCTGCAACATATGGTGTAGGACTGTAGTCATCACCCTGTGTTTGCCTATAGACGAACTATTAATTTCCTGTTTGCGTGTAAGACTATTCAGTGTTACAGTTTAGAGGAAGAAGAAAAGGTAATGGAAGTTTAGGTGTGGGCATCCCCACAAAACTGGAATTGCAGGGTCGCATGGACAGTTAAAAGTCCAGACTTGGGGACTGAGAAATTCTCTACAGAGGGCCAACTGTTGAATTAATGGATATTTTTTTTTTAATAAGAAAATGTATTTTCTGTTTATTTTTATGTGATGATATTTTCAGCAGGCAATCTACAATTGTTAATTTTACAAATAATTACTGCTGTGATCAGGTACAGAAGGGTGGTATATAATTGTATTATTATGGCTAACATTAATAGTGATTTCAAACTTGTAACTACTGCTTTTAGAAATAACATACAGAACTTAGTCAAAAGCATGTGAGAGAGCCCATGTGGGAGTGGGTCTAAGTGTGCCTGACGTAAGAAATGAGCAAAAAAATACCACTGAGGTAAAATTGGGTTTGGGATAGAAACAAATGCTCATCCATCTATTCAGATCTTATTTTTCATTCATACTCAGTAACTAAACTAACTTTAGCATTTATTCTGTGTTCATACCTAATTGGGTGATATTTTAATCTCAGTATATTTTTAGAATTTTCATTTGATGTGACTCATCATATGGGTGAAGGGATGAGAACAGTGAACTAACACTTCCATTTTCAAATAACTTTCAGGTAACTGGAGGCTCCAGTGGAATTGGAAAATGTATTGCTATTGAATGTTATAAACAAGGTGCTTTCATAACACTGATTGCAAGGGATGAGGTAAGTGTATGTGTGTTTTTACTGGCTAAACTCTATTCACAAAATCTATATAGGCGGGGAATAATTTTGGAATTGATAATTATTCATACTTTCTTCAGTGTATATTTTAAGGGGATCCTAAGTATTTCAAATTAATGCATGTGAATAGCAGAGGTGGCTGCCTTTTTAAGGAGTGTAGCCCAATGTGGAATTTGTGATGAGCTTGGCTTAAAACTGCCAGTGCTATCACTTCTGTTAATGGCATTCATTATTTCACTGTCTAGATCTGGTAGAGGACAAAAGCAGGAAACACCCTATATTCTTTAAAACTGTAGAATTTCCTTACAGTAAGTGACAACTGGGGGATTAAAGACAATTCTTAACATTCACAGAATATTTTGGTGTCTAATTAGCATTACATGATACTTTTTACTAGTGAAAAACTGTTCATCAAGACAGCTTTGGAGGAAAAAGGGTTTTGTTGTTTTTTTAACTAAGAGGTATTCTGAATTTCATTGGAATGGCTCTGTTTTCATAATGGGTTGTTATTTGTAGAGAAAAAAACTAATTATTCAGGAAATAAAAGCACTTAACCTCTTTGGGAGGCCTCAGTCTCAGCTGTCTTTGATAATTTACTTACACTTGAGAACTGACTTTGCATAATCTTGAATGCAGCCAAAATTAACACAAGTTTTCTTCAAAGGAGTATGACAATTTGAATTTACCAAATTTTAGTTTTATTTTTATAATTCCATGACAGTGATTGTTCTTCAGAATAGTTTATGTAGTGTTACATAAATACAAAGTAAAACCAAAATCCAGGAGAAAAATTAATACCTGCAGCCTTAGGTGCTCTGTGTAGTTGTAGGAAACAAAAGCATTAAATCTATTATAGAAGTCGTTACTGGCTTCAGAAGATGAAGTGAAAAACAGATAAGCAAGTTCTGTAGCTTGATGGATTTCATGTTTTCAGCATATATTCATAAATCTGTAAAATAGCAATAGTAAAGTGTTGTAACTAGTTGAGGATAACTTTGGGGGGGTTTAGGGAATGTTTTTTTAAGCCTTACTGAAATACTGAAGACTAATGCTGCTCTCAGAACTGCAATGCTTTAGCTGTTCTTGTATCCATTTCAGAACAAGCTGTTGCAGACAAAGAAGGAAATAGAAAAATATTGTGTTAATGACAAGCAGGTAAGATCACTGCCAACAGTGGCTGTTGTGTGTTTTAAGATAGTCACTACAACGTAGTTCAGTAGTCCTGTCTTTAAAACAAAGCTGTTTGACAAAAATGAGTGAGGACTCAGTATTTGAATGCAAAAATACCAGTCTGCTTACATGAGATGTTCTGCACTCTGCTACATTTGATGTTGCCTAGCTAGTGCATTAGCCTGCTTTTCTTAGAGGAAAAGATTGATGTCTTCAGCTGTAGGTGTAGTATGCTTTTTTGGATAGCTGCAATTTACTGTCACTCGATAAGCGTTTGTATTCTTGAAGAACCAATTTTTTTTCAAATATCTTGCTTTTTGCAGTTCATAAATACAGCAATTGTCTTGGCAAAGAAATTCAGATACTTGTTTCCAGGTTTAGTTCACTACATCATACTTGTATTCCTTATCCTGGCAAAGTACTGTAACACATACACAAATTAAATTTGTGAAGTTCTGAGACTTCTAAACACTGAAGCTGCTTTGGTGAATAGATAGTGTGCTCCTGCATAAAGGCACCATTTTAGAGCTTGCAGAGCTACTAGCTTAAAATAGGTAAGCTTGCTATATTCAAAATATGCAACTTCAACATGAAATGCTAAAATTATATTTTTGCAACACTAATAATCAAGGGGAGAGGGGAAGCAAGATTGAGACTGTTAAAATCTTTGACTTCTCCTTTCTTGTGTTCAAGAACTTTTTTGTTACTTTCATGATTACAAATTGTCGTGGTTTAACCCCAGCCAGCAACTAAGCACCAGGCAGCCGCTCACTCACTCCCCCCCCATCCAGTGGGATGGGGGAGAAAATCAGGAAAAGAAGTAAAACTCGTGGGTTGAGATAAGAACGGTTTAATAGAACAGAAAAGAAGAAACTAATAATGATAATGATAACACTAATAAAATGACAACAGTAGTAATAAAAGGATTGGAATGTACAAATGATGCGCAGGGCAATTGCTCACCACCCGCTGATCGACACCCAGCCAGTCCCCGAGCGGCGAATCCCTGCCCCCCACTTCCCAGTTCCTAAACTAGATGGGACGTCCCATGGTATGGAATACACTGTTGGCCAGTTTGGGTCAGGTGCCCTGGCTGGGCATGAGAAGCTGAAAAATCCTTGACTATAGCCTAAACACTACTGAGCAATAACTGAAAACATCAGTGTTATCAACATTCTTCACATACTGAACTCAGAACATAGCACTGTACCAGCTACTAGGAAGACAGTTAACTACATCCCAGCTGAAACCAGGACACAAATAAAAGCAATTTATTTGTCTATGAAAAGGGATTTGAATTGATAAATTGGATATTCTGTTGAAAAGAAGCAACAGAAAAAGCCGAATATGTAGAGGCAATAATGTTAGCACTAGCTGATACAAAATTTTCTTAATACCTCTATGAAATTATGTCTTCCACTTCCTTATATTTTTGTCAAATGGCTCAATCTGATTTTTTTTTTCCCCTGCACATGCTGCCTTACTCAGATCAACTTTATTTGAAAAACTAAGCCATTTGAGGTGAGGAGAAACTATATTTCGCCCATTTAAAAAAAAAAAAAAATCCTGATAACTATTTCTTGTAGCTGCTCTAGTAGTTTCCCATACTTAGCATTAAAGTTAATCTCTTGTCAAACACTGTGTCAGGATGTTCTTCTTAAAATCTGTCCAAGCTTGATAGATGCAGACTGTTTAAAAGACTGTTACTTGATGCATGTTCGTAAGAGTTTCAGTTAAAATCTCCGAAAGTACCCTCAGGGTTGAGCAAGCTCCAGTGTGGACTGAACAGGACTGCTTTTGCAGAAGCAGCTTTAGACTTGCAGCCAGGTTAAGCACAGGCAGTGGGAGTCATAGGTAGGCTGGCTCTTTGGTAGCTGTTACTGGGTTGTAGACGAGGTCACAGGGAAGCCTTCCTGATCTAAATGCAAAGAACAGAACTGGAAAAAGGAGTCTGGGGCAGAGCTTGCACTGGAACAGCAGATCAGAAGCTGGGAAGTGAGGATAGCTGAACTGAGAGAAGCAGTACAAAAGGATTGCTGAAAGAGTGTAGAGAAAGATGTTGTCTGATATGGATCATGTACACAGAGACTGTTATGTTTACTAGATGTCAAGCTAAGAGGTGAAGATCCTCAGAAAAGATTACTTTTTACGTGAGCATATACTGTAACTGTTCAGCTCTTGGATACATACATGAAACCAGGTTGCATACATACATTTTAGTGTTCGATGTTTACATGCAATTTATTTGGAGTGCTGACACTGCAGCCTTTATGGGTATAGGTGTGCAATGGAACAAAATCCTTGCCCTTAGAGGTTTCTTTGCAATATATTTTTTTTTTAATCCCTTTCTTAATATAGAATATTCCCAGTTACTGCACTGGGAACTGAACTGATCTTTTATTGTAAAAGCTTTATTAATGATCCAACACCACACAATATTTAGAACAAGATGTGAGGAAGAGGGCTGGCGATACTAGACTATTTCTGGCAGCATATTCTGTGTCCTAGGCGTGGATCTATGGTGCATGCTTTGGAGTGAAGGTAATGGGTATATTGTAGCAGGAGAAAGAACGTATGTATGATAATAGAAGCAGAGGTGAATTGTATAATGTGATAGTAGTCAAGAAAAGCTGTGGTACTTCCTGAGTGTTGTTCACAGCATGTATAACTAATCTATGCAATCTGATATATTAAACAACTGCTCTAATTTTGATACAGAACTGTGAATTTTTTTTAACGTCCTCACTGACCTTGCAAAGACATCTTGATAATAAATCAGTGTCCTTTTCGTTCAACTGCTATTTTGTTGTTAAACTTATGTAAAAGATAAATATTTCCAAACTACAATAAATGCCCTAAGGGCATGCAGACCCACCGATAACTTGCACCACAAGTTTACTCTGATGTCCAACTACACACAGTGCTGGGAGGCAGGAATAGCCAACCTGCTGTACAGGTATGGCAGGCAGATTCTGTTTATGCAGCTAAGAAGTGTTGCAGTCTGACCAGAGGCAGAACTGACAAATGTCTAGCTGCCAAAGCAGTTAGTTACACTGTGGTAAGCCTTTTTTTTTTTTTTTGGTGTGTGTCCACGTGCTCTATGACAAGTGGTCATGATGATACTTGTTACAAACTGGTGATGACTTTGTGTTATTTCACCTCAAACTGAGTTTAAATGAATTGACCAAAGTAACAGAAAGGATAGAAGTTGGAACAAGAATACAGGAGTCCCTCCTTTTATTGAGATAAGAGATTGCTTTTGCTTTCAAGATGATGAACTGCCCTGAAGCTCTGCTGATTGCTCAGCAGAGAGGGTAGCTTATTTGTCAACACCTGGCCAAGCTGGAGTTTGTAGCAATCTTATAGCTTGTAAGTGGTAACCCAAAGACAGTGCTTCCTTTGGCCAGAAGTTGATTTGAAGGTGCTTCAAAATGTAGATTCTGAGATCACCTTGCTGAAAGTAATAGGTAACTTCCAAGAAAAACAGGGCCTAACTTTCAGTTGCAAGAAAACTTAGGTATTGCTGTCACCTGTTTTTTGTCATCCTGTCGCCCCCACCCCGGGCCAATGCTCTGTTTTCTGGACAAGGAGTAAACATATACACATTATTTCACTTTTTAGGTATTTTTGACACTGTGCAACTAGTCAGTTTCTCAGAGAATTTTTATTTTAGTTTTGTCCTTGATGTGTCTCAAGTAAACGGTATCCAACTAAGTTTACTACTATTCTTTAAAAAAAAACAAAACCAAAACAAAACATGAAAAAAGTGGGTAGCGTGCATTGCCAGTACTAAAGTTAGCAGGTTTTTAACACTTGCTTTATAAATTTTGGAAAAGTTTCTTTGCTGTGCTGATGCTGCAGTTTCAGAGCAACGCTCTGCAACCATGCCTTTCTATGATGTGGAAACAAAATGTTTTTTCTTAAAGATGAGTCTAAGCCACACAAATGGTTCGACTTGTGTTTGGTGCTGATGAAAGTTAAATGTAGCACTGTGGAATTTTGACTGCCTTAGAATAGTTTTTACTACACTTTATGTAAATAACTTGAATCATAGTGTGTCTAGGTACAGTAAATTAGAAATGATACTTTGCACACGGGTAGCTGCTTTGAAGATGCTGAAGTGCTTATTCGTTCTTAATATAATCTTTATTATACTCGAATGGGTGTGTGAGGGGGAGGAGCTCGGAGGGGGCAGGGATTGCTTTCTCCAGTGTGGGAGAAGTGCAAACTGTACTGTCAGAAAGACTACTTCTTTTTCTGGAAAAGATATGCCATTGGGTTTTGTTTCATTTTGAAAGGCTCGGGGTCGACAGTTACTGGACTTACTGTGTTGTAAAAATGTTCTTTCACTTACCTTTTCTAGGTTGTACTTTGTATTTCTGTTGATGTATCTAAAGACTACGAACAGGTGGAGAATGTTCTAAAACAGGTGAGGAAGGAACCGATTCCCCTATGTATCTTAAGAAGCTTACTGGTGTGTGATGTATTTCTAATGGAAATAGTTTCTTATAATGATACTGTGCTATAGGAAGGGGGTTTTTTTCCTGCTAAAGAACAGCTTAACCTCTATCCCTTCTTCCAGGCTCAGGAGAGGCTGGGGCCAGTTGACATGCTTGTAAACTGTGCAGGAACATCAGTTACAGGAAAATTTGAGGATATTGAAGTAAATTCTTTTGAAGTGAGTGAGCATACTTTTTTATTTTATTATATGATGATTTCTTACTCAACCGTTCTAACACTGCATTTGTATATCTTTGCAGACTTTGTATTAATAGTGATACACTTGATTTGTGGTAGCTGTCAGAATTAGAATGTATCTTTAGATTTGTGATGATTGCCTCTGATTTCTCAGCTAACTATCAATCCATTGATGGGTCAGAACAGTGAATTCTCCCTCGGGGAAAGAGTCCTCAAGATGGCAAAAAAGCCTGGCATGTATTTTTATAGTTTAATGCACTGTGAAAGGCACTGAATTTCACATGGTCTCATTTTTATTCTGGTGAAGACATTTTTTTAATACATTTTTAACCTGTTTAAGAAAAGTTTGGCTGTTATCAGTGTTCAACTCTTGAGGTGCCCAAATTGTTTGCAGCTTGAGAAGCTGCTGCTCTGATGAAAAGACCAAAAAAAAACCAAAACACCAAACCCCTGTATTTTGGTTACTTTATGCCCACAGTCCTCAGGCCCCTGTCATCTATAGATAACACTGAATCGTCTGAAAATAATAGGCATAATTTTATAATAAATTTGAATCATCCCTTCTATTGCTTCTGTGGGCTATCAGTTATGTTTTAGGTTGTCTAGAGAGTGAAATTAAAGACTTCCCCTTCTCCTGCCAAAGATTAAAATCTCTGAAATGCATAAATGCATAAAATTTTTCCTGTTTCCTGTTTTAGAAAGCTCTTTAAACTTTCATTTCATTATGTTTTCATACATCATGTGTAAATGGATTGCTTCCTGGACACTATTTAGGTTAGATTTTTCCCTCAAATATTCTTCTTTTTTCCTTGAAGGCCATATGATTCACAGTATTATCAGTATCCTGGATGCTATTAAGACTTGCAGATAGACTGGATTTCTTTTGGCTTGAAGTGAGATTTTTAGCTATAAAACAGTTTATGAAGCTGTAGAATAGAGAACAATTGTTTCTTTTGCCAGCCGATAGAACTACAAATGGAACTTCATTGTTAAAGCAGACTGAAATAGGGATTTTTGCTAAATAATGCCAAACAGCTGAAGGATTCCGAATCTGTGGCTCAAATACCATATTAATATCGTTTGTGCAGAGATTAATGGCAGTCAATTATCTGGGTAGTGTTTACCCGAGTCGAGCAGTAATCGCTACCATGAAGGAACGAAGAATGGGAAGGATTGTGTTTGTATCATCTCAGGCTGGGCAATTAGGCCTCTTTGGTTATACAGCTTATTCTCCAACAAAGTTTGCTCTTCGAGGGTTGGCTGAAGCCCTGCAAATGGAGGTATGTGTGCAATAATTTAAGTATTTTTGATTGTAAACAAAAATACTTTTTTTTAACTAGCAGCACAGCACATTTTCATTTAAATAGTTCTCTTTTTGTCTTGTGCAGCACTGCTGATATGTGTGTGCTATGTTGGCCCTTTTTTTTGGCAGTAGTACAATCCTATTGCTCTGCATGGGGTTGTAGAAACTAAGCTGATTTCAGTCGCATAAGAGGGAATAGATTGAATCTGTTCCTAGAACTGAAGATGACCACATGTGCAGACATTTTAAAAATAATTTATTTTAACTAAAAGGACTTGGATTTTAAGTCTTTTGAGTAAAAGTCTTTTTCAAGGCTCTAAGTGGAGAATGATATTGAAGATCCCATGGATGCATGAGGGGCAGGCCACTGATTCCCAACTTGTTTGTGAGGCCATGGTAAGTGGTATGTGAACCATATGAAACAGTAAAACTTGCAAGCTAGAAATTGAGAATTGTCCACAAAAAAAACCCCTGTGTTGACAGTGGTTCACCCTTCTAAATTTTGGTACATATGAGCTTTTTAAAGTGCAATGATCTAAGTTTATGCTTAAGTCAAGACTAAAAACCAAAAAACCACTGTTTTCATTATTCAATAGAATGAGGTTGGTAAGTACATTGTAATAAGACAGGTAAAATTGATTTGAAAATTACTTCCCTTATTCTTCTGTTAAGAATGTATATTTTAGTTGTTAACTGTTTATATATTAAGTGTCTGTGTTTGGTTCTAGACCCTTGCCTAGTCCCTGTTGTTACCATGTTCTGTTCCATTTAGTTGTATGCCTTGATCAGGATAAGAATGTGAGGTAAAATTGCCTCTAATCACTTCTGGCCTGCCAAATAGAACAGCGTGACTGCAGGGTCTTTCTTCAGACTGGTGATAGATATTTTTGTGAAGACTGAATTATTCAAAACTAAAAATAGGGCGTTCATGGACCTGTGATGTGGTATTTCAGTAAGTGTTTTCAATATAGAATGTTTCATAAAATAAATAAAAATGCTTAGCACTTCAGAACACTTTCCTTTATCTTAGCTCTCTGAATATTTTCATTAAAAGCTTCTTTATTTGTATTTGGAGTACAGATTTGCATTGTAGTTTCTGAATAGTAGTGCAGTAAGTGATGTAATTCTGTGACACATACATACAAATACATAACTAAATGCAATCCTTGACATGAGACCTTCCATTTTTCCTCACGCTTTCTACTTATTTGTCTCCTTAGACTTTGAGCCCTTGCAAGTTTATACCATGGGTTGAAAAGCCTTGTGACTTGAGTATACCTCTTAAAGGTTTCAAATTTGAATGTTATGGTTTTGTTGCGTTTTTTTTCTTGTATTTGTCCAGCAGTAAAAATATGTTGACATAAATAGCAACAAAAGAGCATGCTAATAAGCCTCAGTGAAGGCCTTTTTGGCCTTGTGTTTATGCATGTTGGGTACCAGTGTTTGGCAATGGTTTAGTCTTTTTTTGAAATTTGAAATTGGTAAAATTATAGAGCTAAACTACTTTCATATTCCTCCTAAATGTCTTAAAAACACTTAGATTCATCAAATAATTTACATCAAATGCAAGGGTTTTAGATGCTTTTATTAAACAACACAACCATCTTTTAAAATCTTTGCTGCTTTGCTTTCTCATTTGACAAAGCTCTTGAATCTTGCAAGTGCTGAATATGAGGGTGGCTTAACCCTAGAAGCAGTTTAAATTCATGCTTGCTGTATTTCTTCAGTACAAGAGAAATTAATGAAGTTATGAGTGACATGTAAAGGCTGTCAGTATTAAGATAACACTTACTTTTGTAAAATACAGGTAAAACATTATAATGTCTACGTAACGGTGGCCTATCCTCCAGATACTGACACACCTGGCTTTGCAGAAGAAAGTAAAACAAAGGTAAATTGTCCTTCAGTAATACTGTAATGTTTTGAAAGCTTCACTTTGTAGTAAGCAGTGCAGTTCAGATTTCATTCACTTTCGTAGTACTTTTGAAATCAGTGCATGTTAAAATTTTAAGAAGTACTTCTAAACTCTTCAATTTTATCAACTTAACTACTCAGAGTTAAATAGCTTGTAGGATAATTTTGTGTAGCTTATTGTTCTGGCTTTAAATGGAAGAACTATCTACCTTTTAATACCCGAAACACTGCAGAATCTTTTTGTACACAGTTGAAATATTGTTGTAGAATGGTAAACTGTAAAACCACTATTTGTTTTGATATCAAAGCTTAATGAGCCAAAATTAATATTCTTACTTTGCATCTTTAATATGCAGTTGTTCTGATAGATGTGACAGATCAAATAATCCTCAGTTTCTTCAGTGAAGTCTGCGAACTAACCATGCTATATGAATATATGTAATGACACAATTCAATAGTGGCTGTTGTCTAGTATTAAAGTAGGAAGGAAACTCTTGTGTTGTGTTTTGTAGTGCAAATGACAGTATCACTTTTGAGAAGGGTATGTTAGCAGTAGGCCTTTTTCATTTGGCTTACCTTAAAAGTGAAAGTTCTAACCTTCAAAAAATTTAGTCGCCTCTCGTCATTTGACATGTCCCTACACATGAAGTATAATTCCAAAAACTACATTCAGGCCCCACGTTCAGACTGAAGTATCAGGTAACCAGAGAAAAATATGTCTTACTTTTTATTTGCATACTGTGAACTAGAAACTTGATATCTAAGGAGATCAGCCTTTTCAAGATGCCCCATCATGTATAATGGGAAGTTGAGGTTGAATTCTATTTTGTCTTTCACCCTTTGTATAGGAATCAGTAGGGATTGTATAACACAATTCTTACTTCATAATTTCTTGCTATCTTTAAGAGATGTGTGATATTTATCTTTGTCAAAAAGTTGTTGTCTTTTAAGCAAAGACTTAAGCTTTGTTTTAGCATAAATGAAGTCTTCGGGTGACTTGCTCCTATCGTGATAGTGCACCTTAAATCTCTGCAATATTGCATTGCTCTGACAGTTCAGATACTAATTTATTATTGTTGCATTTATTTAATACTACTTAGTTTAGAACATCTGTCTCTGTAGTTTGCATCTCGTTAGGACTTTGCTATTTTTCTCTGTAATCATTGAATATAGTAAAAGAAAATGTCAGGAACTAGGATACAGCTTTCCTGTGTTTAATCTTTTTTTTTTTTTTTTTGAGGTAACTGCTTTACAAATTACAACTGTGCTTTGGTTGGCTGATAGCCAATCAAGTATTTAATGGCTGATTTCTGCCTGCCTTTTTCTCAACATGTCATTAACTTTAGCTGTTGCTCTGGACCAGTTGCTAATTTTTTTCCCAAACTTACAGTATTTTAATTACTGTGGACATCCCTATATTTCTTTCAGATTTGGTTGATACTGGCCAGTAAGCTCAAAAGTACATAGGGGTTATGAGATGGATATCTGATAATGTAAGCGATATCACCGTAGGAAAGCATGTAAAAGGTGTTTGTATGTGATTTCTGCTGGCAAAGACACTGATTTCCCCCCCCCCCTTAAAATACACATAGTAAAAACCAAACCAAAACCAAAACAAAAAAACCACAAAGTTTTCAGTGAGCCTGACTTTTCAGTGAAATCAGGATTCATAATTCTACAGATACTTGGAAATGGGCCTGTTTCTGTGAAATTTAATTTCTGTAGTACTTTGGATTGATAATGAGAGAGAAACCTGTAGTTGCTCAGCTCTTCCCTAGAAGTGCTTTTTTTAAAGTATTAATCTCAGAATTAAACTAGTTTCAGTATTTGACTAGCTTTGAATGCTTCAATTAAATTTTGTTATTAAATGTAATTGAATTAGCCATTAAAACAAGTCAACCTGTGACCTAGTACTCTTTTTCTCCCTAATTTAGCGCTGTTTTTTTCTTCATCAACAGAACCATCTATCTTAACATATTGAGCATTTAAATAGCTTGCTGTGCAGTTACCTCCATCATTGTTTTATTTATTAAAAGGACATGAATGCCAAACATGCTTCTAAATTCTTTAAAGCATATTTTTGCTGTTTGCTTTTGTAACAGACCAGATTTGTTTGGTTTGGGGTTTTTTGTGAAAGAAATTGTGGCTGCTAAAAAACCTGCCATAATTGCTTTCTTCTAGTGAGGTAAAATGGCAAAAATGCTCTAAAACACAAAGAGATAAAATATAGTGATGGATTTTGTTGGATACCAGTTTGTGGAGTTTGAGAAATTTAAAATTAAAAAAAAAAAAAAGTGGTTTTTTAGGATCTTAAAATATTTCAGGCCTATCTTTTGCTTCATTTCTGGCAAAAAAACCATAAATGAACTAATGCAGGTGTTGAGGGGACATAGTTTAAGCATTTTGATAGCTTTTACTGAAAATAGAGTACTTGGGAGGGAAAAAACCACTTTTTCATATTTTATTGGTAATAAACTATTAAAAAAAAAAGTACTACTCAAGGAAAAGCTGGCATTTCCCTTCATAAAATTAGACTATTATTTATGAAGGTGCTTTTACCTTTCTTTAAGTGAATGTTTTAGGTGACAGTATGATACCACTTGCTAACGATGATGCCATCCATGACAAAAGACCCAAACCCAAAATTTGACCTTCGTATTTTTCTCTCCTGTGTGGTGTTAGTCAAACTTATATTGGTGTTTTTCTACTAAAGCCCTTAGAGACGAAGCTAATTTCTGAAACCTCATCTGTTTGCCAAGCAGAACAAGTCGCCAGAGTTATAGTCAAAGATGCTGTAGTAAGTAAATTATCTTTTTAAAGTATGCTCTTTGTTAGAGGGACTTAAGATCACACGTAATACTTGTTTAAGAGTGTAAAACAACAGCTAAGCTAAATGCAAAATCAATTTACACGAAACAGTACTCTTTGCTGGTTAGTTTGAACAGGAAGAATTTTCTTTATTATTCTTTTGCCACTGCGCCCACAAAATGATTTTATACAATCTCTTGGAACTAAAAAGTATCTGAAGTTGTACATTAGATAGAACAAAATGATGCATCAGTATGATGCAGTGTCTCAAAGAGAGATTATGACTGACTTTAAAGCACTGAACTTTATTGACTTTTTATGTATCAAATACCATTTGCCTAACCTCAAAAGCTTGTTGGACTACCTTATTTTTCTTGAAGATGAGTTCATATAAAAATAATTTTACAATAAATGAAGGCAGTCTAGCCTTTTTGGCTTTTAATGTTGTATGTGATTTATGAGTGATTAAAATACATAAAATGCTGCTCTTAGTGGTTATAAGTGTATTGCCTTTCTGAGGAATTTTTTTCAATGTTTTGTGCTATAGAATGCTTGCATGCTTCATAAAGCACCTCAGAATGGAAACAAACATGAAATTTCGTGTTCATAAAGCACAGCAATTGAATCCTAGAATCTGTAATTATTTTGCAGTTCCAAATACTCTTGATCTTCAATATGATTTACATTTACAGCAGGTGTTCAGTTGTGAAGTTTTTACAATATTTTCACAAATGCAGCACATAAAATTGTCTGGTTTTGGAGTGGTGAGTTTTAAAAGCAAGTACTACCTCGCTGTCCATTTTTAAGTGAATGCCTCTTGGAATGTTGCTGTATAGCACAAAATATTTTTTACTATTTTGATTCTTAATTGTGTTAATATTTTTTTACATAAAAGTATTCGCTGTTAGTGACATCAGTCAGCTATGTTCATCAAGAATAGCTGTTGAAAAAATACACATCGTGATTTGCCACAGCGGGATAAATTACTACTTTGCTTTTCTTAATCTCTGTCTTCCTTCCATCCAGCAAGGGAACTTTAACAGCTCAGTTGGATCAGATGGTTACATGCTATCAATATTGACAAGTGGAATGTCACCAGTCACTTCTATTACTGAAGGTCTTCAGCAGGTAAGATTTGGCAAGGCCCCGTAGTCATAATTCCTTATAGTTTAAAAGACTTTAAAATGTAGAACATTATGCAAACATTGATTGATTATTTTTTCATCAAATGGCTCTTAATACTGTGGAGACTTGGGTTTAGGAAACTGAAGTAGTATTTTCAAGCTGGAGCAGCAAGTTGGCAGGAAAACTAAGATTACTACCCAATACTCAGTCCTGAACTGTTACATAGTTATGATGGTTTTCATGAGTTTGTTTTCCTGAGGTTATGTAACAAACCTGCCTGGAACTTTTTAATTTCACAAGTAAATAATATGCTGCAGTCTGGGATCTTAAATGAATTGAAAGATGTTTCTCTCTGTTTCCAGGTTGTTTGCATGGGCATTTTTCGCATCGTTGGCCTATTTTACCTAGGAAGTTTTGACAGCATAGTTCGTCGCTGCATGATGCAAAGGGAAAAATCTGAAAGTGCAGATAAAACTGAGTAATCTTTACTTTGACTTGAAAGAAGAATGTCAAACAGTCCTGGACAGCTTGCTGCTTAAGTGGGACTCAGTTTTTCTCCTGAAGGATTTAGACTGGAAGTACTTGCTATGTGATCGATGAGTCCCCTTAAAAGCTATGAAAGAAAACAAAAGTACAACTCCAGAAAATGCCAAACTATGCAAAAGTCAGAATGAGGATTAGATTTTTTTTTTTTTTTATTATTTGAGTTGGAGCGAATTTGGGGAACTTGTAAGTGACCTGCAGAGTAGAATTTGAGAATGGACTATGTGTGGTAATTCTGGACAAATGCTTAAGTTTTCTCACTTTGGTGCTTATGGACAAAATAAGTACCATGATGGACTGCGCTGAAGTAGACTGAAGTCCCCCAAACAAGTTGGTACCTTTTGCTAACGTTTTGGGACTGGTTTTAATTTAGAATGTTAACTTTTCCTTTGGCCAATCTACAGATCTTCTGTCAATGACAGCTTTCCTTATTCTGTCCAACATGCAGCTGTGGAAACCTTAAGATGGCAGATACATTTGTACGATCCAAGCTTTCTCAGTTTGGGAGTAATTAAAAAGTATGGTTTAATATATGCATACTTTCTAAAGGGAGATGAAGAACCCATTCCCACAGAGAAATGCTGGTGATCGGGTCTGTAGCTCTTCTGGCCTTTGAAGAATGTTGTGAACAAAAAAATCAAACCAGTATCAAGTGTGTTGATTTATGACTTTCAGCATTTTAAGCCATTGAAATAATATACAATTTTTACAGATACTTACTTTTCCTTATCTGCCAGTTTTTGCTCTGGAAAGGAAAGTAGCTTAATGCTACTGTTATGCACATTATTTTTCAAAGCTGCAAATGATGAGCCAAACCAGTAGTTGATAGAATCAATTGTAATGAAAATGCCAGGCTCTTCCAGTAGCAGGAATGTAGCTTTTGGGGGCAGAGGGGTCGGGAGGGGGACTGGTGTGTGTCAGAATGGCATTCCACACTTAATTGTATCACTATACGGAAAAACTTTCACATGACAAGAAATTATTGAAAATACTCTCCTTCTGTGCCCCGCTTCTAATTTGTTTCATTTACATTATATGAAACAAGGCTGCTCAATAACTGCTTCAGAATACACAGAACCCAGTGATTGTTTCTAATAAATCTTAACACTGAAAAAGCTTGATGCATAACAATGATGTTTTAAGGGTGCACTATATATACTGTTTATTTAATGGACCACTACAGCAAGTGCCTTGTGAGCTTTTTTTTCAAAAGCTGCATATTTTGTATATGTTAGCAGTGATATGTTTTCAATGTCATATTTTCCATTTTCAGTCAGGACTCTGAATCTAAAATTACTTGTAAAACTGGGCACTTTCACTTCCTTGAAAGTAGTATTTAACAACAAAATAGGAAAAATTGATTGCTTTTGTTAAGATAGTCTTTACATCTATTTAAGAAGAGGTATTCAATTAAACCGAGGTGAAAAATAATAGGTGGTTAACTAGAAAACCTTTAAAATTTAATTTATTGAGGCTATTTTCCCTCTCTGAATTCAGTTGGTCACTTTTCAAGTTTTCTTCACATAGACTAAACTTGCTTTAATACCTGGTTTACAAACATATTTTGGGGGGAGGGTCACATTGACACTCTTGTTTTAAGTGGTTAGACTGTCATTAGATTGCAAATGTTGAGGCACTGTTGAATTCTTCACAAAGCCTATGTTTTAGGTCCCACCTCCTGATTTTTGTTTAGAAATGTGAAGTTGTGCATGCCTATAATATAATACAAATTTTGAGCATAGAGTGTATTCCTGCATTTTTAAACAGCTGGGCTTCAGTGCAAAGAAATCTAGTGTGCATATGTTTCCTGTGCTGCTTAATGTGAATGACATAATGGAGCATTTATCGTATATCCATTGTCAACATTGCTATATTTTTTAAAGCAACATAACAATGCTATTTGGACCCCATTATCTATGTTAATTCTTATTTTGATGCAAATCAAATACTCCTTTGACCACCTGCAAAAGATACCAAAACGGGTGAATCGGTTGTGCTGTAGTTTGAAAGAAATGCTTATGTAAATGGCTTGACATCAACACAGGCTTGAAGGTCAGGACTTAAAACCAGTAAGACTTTGGATACTTGAATTTTTGGATCTTCAGCTTGGAATGTTAAAGGGTTTGCATTTAAGGAACATAATCCAGAAGGTCAGAGCACACACAAGACACTATGGCAGCTGGGCCTCTTTACAATATTTCAGGTTGGACATCTTAGATCACTAATCACTCTTTCTTGGCTGAAGAGTCCTCCAAATAATGACTGATACAATTCAGCGCAAGTGTCTGTGAAGGAGGAATAAGAATACAGGGTGAAAGTTATGGCACTGATCTATAGAGACGTCAGTTCACACCTAATTTTGCCTAGTGTAAGTCATTGTATTGACAGTAAAACTGTAGGTTGAACCCCTCAACAATTGTGGAAATGGGAACAAGGCAAGGTTTTTGAAGGAACAAGTAAAGAATAATCTTCTTAAATGTCCTAGTTTCTGCTGTTGCAAGTTAATGCAGTTAATTTTAACTGATAAACTTCTCAACTGTTTTATTGTCAAAACATAGTAAATTGTCAGCTACAGCAACCTTAGGTGTAAATTTTGTTTTCTTATGCACATTCTCTATCTACCAATGTACTCATTTTAAGGTCCAATATTAAGTGAAGGAGATGCCTTGTAATCTTGTGGAAAAATGTTTAGCAGCCAAAAAAACTATTTTGCCAGTTTAAATGTTACAAAATCTCTGCATTGAAAAGTTTTAGCAGTGTCTTAGATCTGTGCAGAACTTCAAATAGGCTTTATTACTTTTTGTCAAAATGTCAATAATTTAATCACTTGTGCCATATCAGTCGGTGTCTTGTCTCTTGTTTTCTTGGTCAGTCTTTAAGATTCAATTTAGGCTTTGATAGTCTTTTCCATTCCATGTAGTTTCTAATGACTGTCTGCTTTAAATACAGATTTATTGTAACTTCACATACAGTTTACTTCACCAAGGTGTTCATGTGCAATTTAAATAGATTTAATATTTTACTAAGAAAAAAGATAAAGGTAAATAAACTTTATTTGCTGTGAAAAACTCTAGGCACTTTTAAATGGTAAAAATATATAGCATTATTTGTAAAAAGAAACTTTGTGCTTATTGTTTCATCATTTTGTGCCAGAACTGTAAACTAGTTTTCATATTTTATATTTCTCAAAATAAATGGAGAATCAACAAAGCCTGTAACTTGTAAGTTCTTTGAGGAGATGAAGAGCAATGGATAAATGCATTTGTAGGGCTTGGTGAGGTTTTGTTTGTTTTAAATCTGGGATTAGTTCAGCAGGATCCTCTTAATTTTGTAGGATAGCAGAGGAGGCAATATATCCCTCCATTTTAGCAGATTAGGGCAGAGGTGTACAGCAGATGAAGGATGTAAAGAATTTGACTGAATATTGTTAGCAGACCCAGTGTCATCAAACAATAGTGAAAGTGGGATTAAATTGACAAAATCTGCCTTTATTGCAGGAGGTGCTGCCAGTATAGAACTAGTGCTTGTGCTGTCTGGAAGTGCTTGTGAATCCTGATGAGCCAAGTGATTCTTATTCTTCCTAGTGGAAAACAATGGAAGTAATAGTTATGGTAGCTGTCTTTCTGTAACACCACTGAGCATGCAGCTGTGTAGGAAATTACTATATTATGTTTCAGCTGTGTGGTAGGAGGGCTTGAGTGGATAGCTAGCTCCAAGATAATAGTAGGGGAGAAATAGCCCTAAGATACTTATTCTCAAAGTAAATCCAAAATCTCAGAAGTTCAGTCTTTTAGAAAGACATTAAGTTATCAGAGCACCAAAATCAAAGATGGATTGAGGAAAGTATATGCTGTCTAAAATGTGTTTTTAAAGCTGAGGGGCTGTTAATCTTAGAATGTTGGAGAATTAGAAGTTTTGAAATGGAAGACAGCCATGTTGCAACTGGAGCTGCTGACTTTTCAGTAAAAGTAGCAGGCCAAAGTAGATTGCTCTTCATTCCTTTTTGTAATCAGATTTCAGCTACAAGGCTAAATTATCTGCTAGCTCCATTTTTTTGTTTTTTTTTAATTTTTTTTTTCTCCTGCCCAGCCAGTACCAGGCACACTTGAAGAGTAGGTGTGTGTTTGATTGTCTGTCAAAGCTGGTAGTAAAACCTCATGAAGTCATTTCCTTTCCTCTGTCACTGGGGGGGGATTCTCACAAGAGCCAGGGACCTTTAAATGAGGTGTCTGTCTTGCCACACCTCCCATCCTCTTTCTCCTATTTCCTTTCTTTCAGCCTCGATGCACTAAATTGGTGAAAAAGAAGACTGTGCTAATCTTCTATTGTTGGTGGTCTGTGGTGGTGGGGAAATAATACTGTTAAGCTTTTAGACAGAAACTTGAGCTGAAGGAAGCGGAAAGTGCAAATACTTTTTTTTTTTTTTAAACCCCAAAGATGCATATCTAATTTGATGGGGGTGGGGGGTGGGGGGAAGCATTTCATAAAGCTGATTGGGAAGGTTTGCTGTTTGGGGAAACCTTGATGAAGGAATATAATACCAAACCTCTTCTGTGGTAAAATTACCACCAAGCCAATCTGAAATTTTATTTTTCTAAGTTGAAAACAAGTTTGTTTTCAGCTTGGAGGGGAATCCCCATGTTAATTTTAGACCTTTCGAGTTCTATGAAGTTTGTTCTGTAGTAGTGCTGTTAGAGCAATGTAAACAAACACAAGGGGCAAAAGCAAAACATACACACGACTAACACTAAATGATGCTACCGAGCACTGACAATTAACTCATTTGGCCAAAATTAGGTCTTAAATCTGTAAAGATACCAGCTGTAAATAATGTATATAAAAATAAGTCTAAAAACAAATTTTAAATGTTATAGGTAACTTGCAACTGAGGGGAATATCCTTTTCAAAGCTAACAGGTACTTCAAAGAAAGTAGTTAAAATGAGGTGTGTTGGACTTTATGTCAAAGCATTTGCTCAAAAAATGCTTTGCCCCATTTTACCTTCAGAAATTTTAACAGGCTTAGTAAAAGTTTATGGATCAGAGATGACTGTTCCTATTTGTCCAGCAGACTCTTCTCATCTCCTATTCCTCCATGCTGAAACTGTCTCCTTTGCTATTCTGGTGTTTCAACTGGGAAGTTGGTCTCTGATTCCTTTTTCCATAGCAGAAAGAAGAAAGAAAGGGCATAGGCAGCATTGCCGAAGTCACAAGAATAAGTTGGTAGCTTGTGAAAGGTGGTAAGACAGCTCAGATACTGTAAGGACAAGACCCTATTGCCACATAGTGAAGTAGCGATGTCAAAAGGAAGGATTTCCTAAGCTGGATGCAGTT